CTCTGTCTCAAAAAAAAAAAAAAAAAAAAAAAAAAAAAAAAAGGTGGTCAGGCATAGTGGCTCATGCTCATGCCTATAATCCCAGCACTTTGGGAGGCTGAGGTGGGTGGCAGATGGCCTGAGGCCAGGAGTTCGAGACCAGCCTGGCCAACATGGTGAAACCCTGTCTCTACTAAAAATACAAAAATTAGCTGGGCATGGTGGTGGGTACTTGTAATCCTAACTACTTGGGAGGCTAAGGGGAGAATCACTTGAACCTGAGAGGTGGAAGTCACAATGAGCCAGGATCATGCCATTGCACTCCAGCCTGGGCGACAAGAGCAAGACTTAAAAAAAAAAAAAATAATAATAATAATAATAATAATGATAGTGTGGGATATTCAGCCATTTTTTCTTCTTCTTTTCTCTCTCTTGCCTTCTGTTTTTTTTTTGAGACGGAGTTTCGCTCTTGTTGCCCCAGGCTGGAGTACAATGGCACCATCTCGGCTCATTGCAACCTCCACCTCCCAGGTTCAAACGATTCTCCTGCCTCAGCCTCCAGAACAGCTGGGACTGCAGGCATGTGCCACCATGCCCTGCTAATTTTGTATTTTTAGTAGAGATGGGATTTCTCCATGTTGGTCAGGCTGGTCTTGAACTCCTGACCTGAGGTGATCCATCTGCCTCGGCCTCCCAAAGTGCTGGGATTACAGGCATGATGAGCTACCGTGCCCAGCCTGCCTTCTTTTTTTGTTTTTGTTTTGAAATGGAGTCTTCCTCTTGTCGCCCAGGCTGGAGTGCAATGGCACAATCTTGGCTCACTGCAACCTCTGCCTCCTGGGTTCAAGTGATTCTCCCACCTTAGCCTCTGGAGTAGCTGGGACTTAGGCACACATCATCATGCCCGGCTAATTTTAGAGATGGGGTTTCACCATGTTGGCCAGGCTGGTCTTGAAGTTTTGACCTCAGATGATCCACCTGCCTCAGTCTCCCTGAAGTGTTGGGATTACAGGCATGAGCCACTGCACCCAACTCTCTCTCTCCTCCTAATGCTCCCATTATATGTATGTTGGTGACTTAATGGTGTTCCACATTTGTTTGAGGCTCTATTTCATTTTTTTTTCTCTTTTCTCTCTGTTCTTCAGCTTGCATAATCGCTTTTGATCTAGTTTCAAGTTTGCCAATTCTTACTATCGAGCTTTTCTAGTGAATTTTACATTTTAGTTATTGTACTTTTCAACTCCAGAATTTTCATTTGGTTCTTTAAAAAAAATTGTATGTCTTAGCCAGGCACGGTGGCTCACGCCGGTAATCCCAGCACTTTGGGAGGCCGAGGCAGGTGAATCATGAGGCCAGGAGATCGAGACCATCCTGGCTAACATGGTGAAACCCCATCTCTACTTAAAAAATACAAAAAGTTAGCTGGGTGTGGTGGCACGTGCCTGTAGTCCCAGCTACTTGGGAGGCTGAGGCAGGAGAATTGCTTGAACCTGGGAGGCAGAGGTTACAGTGAGCTGAGATTGCACCACTGCACTCCAGCCTGGGCGACAGTGAGACTCTGTCTCAAAAAAAAAAAAAAAATGTATATCTTTATTGATATTCTCTATTTGATGCAACATTATCATCATACCTTCCTTTACTTCTCTAATCAAGCTTTCCTTCAGTTCTGTGAACATATTTACACTGGCTACTTTGAAATACTTTCCTGTCGGCTGGGTGCGGTGGCTCACGCCTGTAATCCCAGCACTTTGGGAAGCTGAAGCGGGTGGATCACAAGGTCAGGAGATCGAGACCATCCTGGCTAACATGGTGAAACCCCATCTCTATTAAAAATACAAAAAATTAGCCAGGCATGGTGGCGGGCACTGTAGTCCCAGCTACTCGGGAGGCTGAGGCAGGAGAATGGTGTGAACCCAGGAGGCAGACCTTGCAGTGAGCCGAGATTGTGCCATTGCACTCCAGCCTGGGCAACACAGCAAGACTCCATCTCAAAACACACACACACACACACACACACACACACACACTTTCCTGTTAAGTTCATTGTGTTGCTCTCATGGGCATTTTTTGCGGGGTAGATGGAAAAATAATTTTTCTATTGCTTTGCAGGCCTCATAATTTTTTGTTGGAAACGGCATTTTAGATAATACATGGTAACAACTCTGGGTACTGGGGTTTCTTGTTATTTCCTTGTTTATTTGTTTAGTGACTGGCTGGATTATTTTAGCAAAGTCTATTTCCTATCCCCTGTGTTAGATCACTGATGTTGCTACTCTGGGAGGTGCAGCTTTGGATATGCCACTGTCA